GGTGGGGCGATGGGGGCCAGCTGCCCCATCCATGCGCCACGGCACTCTCAGGTGTGTGCGATGATGTCAAGGACGGCGTGTTTGGCGGTGCGGTTTCACCTGCGGAACCAGAACTGGGAGGCTTTGAGTCATCTGAAGAGATTAAGAGTCATCTTTTGAGGTTTTTTTTGAAAAGAAAGAAAAATATGTGTGGGATGCCTGGCTGTCAACAACAGAGAAGCAGCCGGGAAAGGAGACGGTGAGTTGCGTTGCGTTAAGTGAAGCATTTGGACGAAATAGCACTGCCGTTCCGGTAAGAACTCGTTTTCCGGGGCCTGGGCCTTGATTTTTATTTATTTATTTTTTTTAGTCAAGAGTTTCAACAAATTCTCACAAGGATCGATTGTGTTCCAGGAGGTTTTTCACTGTTGGGGAAACAGACCGATGTCTGCAGGCTGGAAAATAAGACTACAAGGCCCATCCTCCCCCCAGGGCTTATAATGTCCAGGCCATTCTTTATTTTAAGTTGCGTTGCGTTAAGTGAAGCATTTGGATGAAATAGCGCTGCTGTTCTGGTAAGAACTCGTTTCCCGGGGCCCGGACCTTGATTTTTATTTATTTATTTTTTTAAGTCAAGAGTTTCAGCAAATTCTCACAAGGATCGATTGTGTCCCAGGAGGATTTTCCACTGTTGGGGAAACAGAACTATGTCTGCAGGCTGGAAAGTAAGACTACAGGGCCCATCCTCCCCCCCCCAGGGCTTATAACGTCTAGGGCATTCTGGGAGTTATAGTTTTTGAAAGTCACTTTCCCAAGCGCTGGTCAAAGGGCTGAGCTCTAAACTGGGCACCTGCAACCTTCGGCGTGGCGACGGCTGGCTGGTGGAGCGGATGGGCTTTGTAGTTGGTCATGCCTGGGGTGCTGGGGGCACCAGGGGAGGGTCCTATTTGTTTGATTCAGTGAATGCTTTGCTTCCTTCGTGAAATATTTGGGCCCGTGGGCTTCCCTGGAGTGGGGGGGGAAGGAAACTTCCCCCCAGCTGAGATCCATGAATGGGGGGGAGCTGTGGCTCAATGTATTGATGGCACCAAATTTATTCCTTTCTCATATTTGCACCTCAACATTTGGACTGAAAGGATACAGGCTGCTCGGATCGTCCTGTGGGAAACGGTGGTTGGTGCCGTAAGATTTCCTGTGGGTAGCGGGGGGGGGAGTTGATTTCTTTTCTGAAGCTTGTTCAGTTTCCCCCGTGGCTAGAATTAGCTCGGCGAAAGTAAGCCAGCTTGCTTCCTTTTCGTTACCCAGTTTGTAACCCCATGCAAAATTCAGATGCTTTGAATACCATAAAGACGACCTCTCTTGTGTCCCATTATATTGGAAGACTGCTGTGATTTTTTTTTTTAAAAAAATGTTTTTCTTTCTGGACATTGTGCATTACTTTTGACAACAGTGTTAGAAAGGCAGTACACGACATTTTAAAATAAGAGTATTGAGGAGCGGACAGCTGAGAACCTGTAGTTTTTAAATCTGACCGCAGACTCTTATCTCTCCCGTGGCCCCGAAAAGTCAGATCCCGCACCCCAAACACACACACAATCTCTCAGGTAGCTGCTCCTCATCTTTCTTCTGCATCTCAGACATAAACCCACACAACCAACAAGCACTGCTGGCTAGCTCAGGAGTTTGGGTCTCTGGCTTCGAAGCCAGGGGTTGGGGGTTCGATTCCCACACAGGGCCTCCGTGACATTGGGTCTCTGGCTTCGAAGCCAGAGGTTGGGGGTTCAATTCCCCCCACAGGGCCTCCTTGACAGGCTGGACTGGATGACCCATAGGGTCCCTTCCAGATCTGCAATTTTAAGATTATTATTAAGATTCCCAGAGAGGTGTGGGTGAGCAAGCCACTCCCAGCAGAACGGAAGGAAGTGCATGTTCTGCTTTTGAATCCTGTCCTTTGGGGCGGGGGAGGCAAAGAGTGTCTCTCGGAGATGATATTGCTGCAAGAAGTGGGAGTGGGTGGGGGGAATTGAGTGGCATTTAGTGAAGGGGTGGACAGAGTGCAGTCAATGGGCTTTGCACCCCCTCTTCAAGGCATCCCCCAATGCCTTCCAAAACCAAGAGAGAGAGAAATATCACAAAAACATCTATTTCTGCGTGGGGGTGGGAGGAGACAACACCACAAAGCTGAATGGTTCCCCATGGCAGAGCTGTCTCGGTGGCAGCCCCTGAGTGGTGGAACTCCCTTACATGAAGATCACAACTGAGAGTCACAGAGGATGATGAGAAGGACAGAAGCTGTGTCGCCTCTAGCTGAGGGGTGAAACTGCAGAAAAGTGATATCCGTAGAAGCTGTGGAGGAGGGAAGCTAGTCAATTTCATATTGCACAGTGACAGAGGTTTGTGTCCCATGGAAGTCAATCCATTTTAGCCCTACCTGGAGAGGAGAAAACACACACAAACATGGGAAAGTGTGCTCCTTTGTGGCTAGGGTGTAGTTGCAGAGAAGGCATGTCAGAAGGTACACATTTCTGGAGGATTTGCAGAAGATCCACAAGAATTTTGGACTTCTAGTGGCATCATGAAAGCAATTTTTCCCCTCTCAAAATGAGCCTCGTAGCACAGTGGTTCAGCTGCAGAATTGCAGCCAAGACTCTGCTCGCCAAGCTGGTTCCAATCCCAGGTCGCTGGCTCGAGGTTCACTCAGCCTTCCATCCTTCGGAGGTTGGAAGAACGGAGTGCCCAGCTTTGTGGGTGGGGTGGGGGCAATGTGTCGCCTCTGCTGCAGGGTGGTAGATAAGCAGCACACTTTGGTATGAAGGGGAAAATTAAAGAAATCATGGAAGAAACCTTAGTCCCAAAGAGTGGACCCGGTGAAGCCCCATGGGACTGGTAGTAAAAGCCCCGATCATGTCAACAGGACTGGAGTTTTGGGACTAGCATTGGACATATTTCTGTGCATGGATTTTTAAAAAAAAAAATAAATGGATTGAAAGAGGGACTCTGGTCCTGAAACAAAGTTAGACAGGCGAGCTCCTTATTCCAGGTCAGAGCCAGAACTTGGAAAGGCTGCTTTCTTGGACGACGAGTCTCAGAATCCCACCCCAGCAGCTCGGCTGCCTGAGGAGGGCTTCTTGGGAATCAAGAGTCCATCCGAGGAAGGTTCCCAGGCTCCGGCCACGGGCTGGTCGAGCCGAGCATCATCTGTTCCCACTGGCCCTGCCCTACCAGGGTCTCGGGCAGAGGCAAGACTCAAACCCGGACCTTTACGGGTGCAGAAGAGCCGCCGCCACGCGGGGTTGTCCCAAGGAGCTTCTGGGGGGTGGTTTCGATCTTGGGTCCGAGTGCCGCGTGGGCTGACGGCTCCTCCTTTCTCCTTTCAGGCCGAGGTCCCTCCCGTCGGTGGCGTCCTCACCATGAGCACCCACGCTCGCCGCATCCGCCTGAAGCCCTGGCTCGTGGCCCAGGTGAACAGTGGCCAGTACCCAGGCCTCCGCTGGGTGGACGTGGAGCAGAAGCACTTCTGCATCCCGTGGCGCCATGCCACGCGCCACATCCCTAGCCCGGACGACGAGAACACCATATTCAAGGTGAGAGAGAGAGAGCGATGGAGGGTAGATAGAGGGTCCGAGCCACGTTTCCCAGAATTCCACGGTCGCTGGGGGATTCTGGGCATCGTAGTCTTAAGGAAACGTTTCCAAACTCTTCCAAGCAACATCTCTTCTGGCTTACTTAAAAGACCGTGTTTCCTCATTCGAGTCCGACCTTCTTTTAAGATTCTGTCTTGGCCCGGCGAATCTCAGAGACACTTTGATTGACCGACCTCAGAAGGCTGGAAGGCGGAGCAAACCTCAAGCTGGCTGCCCGGATCCACTAGGATCCAACGCTGACCATGAGCAGAGTCTCGACTGCCATACTACAGTTTTGACCACTGCACCGTACTGACCCCTGCCCTGTGGACCTGCATTTTTTTGTTAAGATAGTGCAATCTAATCAGAGCCTAACCATTTATCTTTGTTATCTGTGGTGTCGTGGCTTACTCCGCTGCCACTTATTTACTTTATCCCGCTCTCTCTTCCCTTCAATCAGGCTTTATAAGGGAAGGATTAGGGCTGACATCTCAAATCAGAGCATCAAAGGATGATCGAGTTCAAAGGAGCCTCTAAGGCCATCGGGTCCGACCCCCTGCCTGGCTCAAGGCAGGAATCCCAAATCAAAGCGGGCCTGACAGATTGAGGGCCTCCAGCATTGGAGCGCTCACTACCGCCTCCCTGAGGTCATAGGTCCCGTTGTTGTTGTACTGCTCTAACAGTTAGGAAGTTTTTCCTGATATTCAACTGAAATCTGGTTTCCTTTAACTTGGGCCCACTGTTGCATATTCTGCACTGTGGGATGATCGAGAACTGTAGGACAGCCTTTCAAATATTTGAAAAGTGCTATCCTATCACCCCTCCATCTTCTTTTCCCAAGGCTAAACAGGCCCAGTTCTTTCAGCTTTTCCTCCTAAGGCTTGGTTTCCAGTCCCCTGATCATCCTTGTCACCTTCCTCTGAACTTGCTCTAATTTGTTAGCATCCTTCTTGAAGTGTGGTGTCCAGACGTGGACACAATACTCAAGGTGAGGCCCTAACCAGTGCTGAATAGAGAGGGAGTAGCACCTTGCAAGATTTGGAAACTATACTTCTACTAATGCAGTCTAAAATTGCACTGGCCTTTTTTGCAGCTGCATCAAACGGTTGGCTCATGTTCAGCTTGTGATTTATGACAGTTCCAAGATCCTTCTCACTCGTAGTCTGACTGAGTCAAATCTCAAGCAAAACCCTCCGTTTTCTTCTGTGGCCTCAAGTCAAATCTCAAGCAAAACCCTCCGTTTTTTTTCAACCAATATTGTACAGTACCTCTCTTGATGCTGCCACGTTCTTATCTTCTTTTGGTCTATTTTCTTTTCCTGTTTTGTTCACATTATATATTTAATGTGGCAGCTTGGTTCTCTAGTGTCTGTTTTATATTCTCATGGCGATGGTTATTGAAAGCCCTTGTGTGGAAAGGCAGCACACAAAAAAAACAGTATTGAAAACGAACAGGATCTGTCAAGGCCAGGGTGGGCAAATCAAGGCCTGAATAAGGCTGTATTTTAGGGTTCTGCCCTCTTCCAAAAGCTTTTTCCCCAGCCGGACGGCTGCCCCAGGAAGGCTACCAGAAAAACACTTTGCTTTTGAAATAGGGCATATGTTTTGATAGTAATAACTTGTGAACGGCAGAGCTCGAAGGGACCCATCAAGTCCTGCGACTGAGCTATCCAAGAGCTACTCAGGTCAGGGGTTGAGGTCTCTGGCTGGGGAACCCGAGGTTGGGAGTTCGATTCCCCCTTCGGTGCTTCCTTGACAGGGGCTGGACTGGATGACCCCGAGGGCCCCCTTCCAGCTCTGCTGTTCTGAGGTTATATTTTGCAAACTCAGGAATGGATTTCAGGTCGCTTTCATTTAAGCCTCCATTTTTTCACAATTCTAGCAATCCAAAAGACAAAAGGTGCTTCTGTTCCGTCGAAAGGCTGGTCAAGGAACGAGGTGGCACCCTGTGTGGGATGGGGTGACGACCCCTCTGAAAGCCAAAGGGTGCACCCTGAGGGAAACACACACACCCCCAAGATGCCTCTCTCAGCCCAGATGCCCAGGCTTCGGCCGTGGCCAGGAGTGCCTTGTCACAGTTAAAACCGGTGCACCAGCTGCACCCGTTCCTGGAGAGGTCTGGTTTGGCTACACAGTGACCCATGCCTGAGTTACATCCCAGCTGGATTACTGTAACACACTCTATGTGGGGCTGCCCATGGAAAGGGTCAGGAAGCATCAGCAGGTCCAAAACGCAGCAGCCAGGTGGCTCTCTGGAGGCTGGAATACAGGGGGTCACATAAGCATACACACACACAGCAGCTCCACCGGATGCCGATCCGTTTCCGGGCACAATTTAAAGTGTTCTCACCTACAAAGCGCTAAATAACTCAGGGGCCAAACGGTCTCAAGGGCCGCCTCTCCCTTGACCAGCCGGCTTGAGTGTTGCGATCATCAGGAGATGCCTGTCTCTTCGTCCCAATGTACTTGGTGGGGACACGGGACAGGGCCTTCTCGGTGGCAGCTCCCAGACTGTGGAACTCCCTCCCACTGGAGGCCAGCCTGGCCCCTCTTGGCTGCCCTTCTGCAAGCAGGCGAAGAAGACCTTTTCTCTTCTGGCAAACCTCCCCCCCGCCCTCTGGGTGAATGGCTGCCGAGTGGAGTTTTTAAAATGGCGTGCTGTACCTTTACTGCCCTGAAGGCATTTTGGGGTTGCTTACTTTTTTTGATTTCGCTTTCACTGATCTGTTTAGTATTGTCTGTCTATTGTTACTAATCTTAAATACTGTATTTTGGTTGTTTTAAGTGGCCTTGGGTGCTTTTTTAAGGAGGAAGATGGGTTTAAAACATTTTGAAGAAATCAAAATAAACATTCCCCAGAATTTTCTGGGGGACAGTGGTGAAAATTGCCGGTCTCTCCCTTTCTTCCTCCCAAAACCCAGCTGAACTTGTGTGTGAGAGAGAGAGAGAGAGAGAGCATTGCCGGTCTCTCCCTTTCTTCCCCCCAAAAACCAGCTGAACTTCCAAACTGTCGAACCGCCAAACGCTAGTCTTCCTCTTCCGTTTGCAGGCCTGGGCCAAAGAAACAGGGAAATACAATGAAGGGGTGGACGAGCCGGATCCGGCCAAGTGGAAAGCCAACTTGCGCTGCGCCCTCAACAAGAGCCGAGAGTTTCATCTCATCTACGACGGGACGAAGGACACCCCGATGCAACCTTACAAGATCTACGAGGTTTGCGATTTGCCACAGCCCAACGGAGGTACCAGCTGGTCTGTGCGGTCGCATCCTGCCTTTTCTGGTGCTGCCTCGTCCCCCACCCCACCCCTACCCCCCTGGAACCAACCCTAAAACCTATGACTCATTCCTCAAGGCGGTGGAGGGTTGTTGTGTTTTTTTTCCCTGTTTCCTTTCCCCGGAAACATATTGGGGGGGGGGAGTTAGAGGCAGGCTTGCCTGGGGTGCATCGCCTCCCTCAAGCTTTTGCCCAGTGATCTTCTTTTCGGTTGTGCAGGTTTGGCAGGTTCTTACCCCCCTGGAACCAACCCTAAAACCTATGACTCATTCCTCAAGGCGGTGGAGGGTTGTTGTGTTTTTTTTCCCTGTTTCCTTTCCCCGGAAACATATTGGGGGGGGGGAGTTAGAGGCAGGCTTGCCTGGGGTGCATCGCCTCCCTCAAGCTTTTGCCCAGTGATCTTCTTTTCGGTTGTGCAGGTTTGGCAGGTTCTTGAACCACTGGCAGGCTTGCCTGGGGTGCATCGCCTCCCTCAAGCTTTTGCTCAGTGATCTTTTTTTTCGGTTGTGCAGGTTTGGCAGGTTCATGAACCACTGCAAAACCCTGCAGAACCTGTTTGACTGGAGCCAGCCATGGGATGAATACGCACAGCAAGGCCTCTGTCAGTGTCGTCTCCTTGGGCTTCTTAAAAAAGAATGATCCACTTCCAGCTTTTCTAAGGAACGACAACTTGGTCCAGACTTTAGAAAAGTTAATTCTGGATGTCAGGGCCCACCAGCGACCGACCGAGAGAGAGTTTGGTCGTTCTACTCCCAAACAGCAACTTCCCTTTATGAGACATGCCGGCGTTCTCATTTCACACATAAAACATGGCGGTCCAGGGTCTTTGCCCAAACCTCAGCCTCACGGTTCACGTCACCCGATCCTGTACCTTGCCTCCTATAGATTTAAAAGCCTTAAAAAAACGTTTCCTGTTTCAAAAAGGCCCCGAGTCAACCCTGTTCTCCTGCCGTGTTCTCCAGTTTTCTCCTTGTGCTGTTTTTCTTGGTCTCTCAACTTCCTGACCCAGATTTTTTTAAAAATAACTCTTCGTCTCCATCGGTTTCTCCTGTATTTGCAAAAAGCTGTTGTTTTTTGGGGGGAGGGCTGACGGGTGGATGGGGCTTGGCCCCTGAGCTGAAATCTAGTCGTCACTAAAGTCAGTTTTTGGGGGGGGGGAGGGCTGACGCGTGGATGGGGCTTGGCCCCGGAGCTGAAATCTAGTCGTCACTAAAGTTGATCCGATGGAACTTACAAAGGAGTGGACTCCACAAATCCCCCACTGATTCAATGGGTCTACTCTAGTGGTGGCTTTCTCCTGGGCTTCAGCGGTAGTCTTCTAAACGTGCCCAGATAGAGTCATAATTGGAATAAATAGTTCAAGGTGGATGCCCCACGTCGGGCCCCTGACATCCATCAGCTCCTCTCCTCTCTGATGCAGTTGGCTTTTTCTGATTTAACATTCATCTGGGGGGGGGGAGGGGAATTAAAATATACATTTGTATTTTAAGGCAAAGAACAAAAGCAAGAGCAATTATGTTGGCCCATAAAGTGGAAAAGTCCAAAATCCAGGCTCTGTCTTAGGACCAATCCAATCATTCAAAAATAACGAGCAAGCTTCGGAGTTCTCCATAACTCTTTGACCGGCCCAATGCTAAGCCTCTCAAGGGATGGAGACCCTAAAGTTGGCTTCGTGTTGCAGTTTGGGAAATTCATGCTACTTTCCCCTCACCTTTCAGAGCCTTTTGCAGGAGATGACCCCACGGGCTGCGAAGATGAGGAAGAGGTGAGAAAGAGTTCCTTTTCTCCGTCTTCAGTACGTGTTCCTCCTAGTAGCTGCTTTTATTCCCTGGTGAAATCCCAGGAATCTACAGTTCCGTGTTTAAAAACAAAAACAAACCCCAAACACTTTGCTTACCAAATCCATGGGAAACTGGCAGGGTTTACAGATGTTCCTTCTGGGGACTACGAATCCCATCCTCCTCCCTCATTACCCAAGCCGGCTGGAGGGGCCGTCCTTCACAATTAGAAACCTTTCCGACCTCTGGACTCAGCCCTTCAGAAAAAGGAAGTATATTTCTATGGTCTCCAGACGTTGTTAAGACTCCGATGCCTATCATCCCCCAACTCTGGCCCTGCTGGCTGTGACAGATCTTGCTCTCATTAACTCAGGAGAGGAATTGGAGTCTTTTGGAATGGGAAGGACAGTATAATTAGCCCTACCCAATGATGGTGTCCTGGAGAAACAAGCGTGTCCGGTTGGGGAAGGAAGCTTGAAGGACCGTATTCTGACCTGGGACCCTCCTGGGTTTCTATTCTTCTGGAACAGGGATTCCTCTTGCTCCCTATTTCCTCTCCCCTGCCCCCCCCCCAGGCATCAGCTCTCGGCGATCTCAGCCGGACACCTTTCTGTTTAATTCTGACTAATCCCAATTCCTTGATTTGCAGTTACAGAAGATGCTGCCGACACTAAGAATTGCGGGTAGGTCTTGGCAGATACCGGAGGCCGCATCAGTAAGGCATGTAATAAGTCACTTCAGCCAGCAGGGGCCGGTCAGGAGCTCAACGGTTGGGTGGGCTTGGGCGTTTTGTCTGTCCTCGTCTTCCCTAACTCGCCAGGGACGGAGAAGCGAAGGCCTCTTGCGTCCTCCTTTTTTGAATGGTCTCGTCATCTGGGTCTTGCGATGTTCCTCCATGTTGGTCCTCAGGACATCCCTCTGCTTCAAAATCAGCATTAGAAGTTTAGGGCTCCCATTCCCCGCACGAGGGCACCACGGAATTTCTTCAAACAGGCCACCTCAACGTTGGTGCTGCCGGTGGGGAGGGAAATGTTCCCAGGCCAGTGACGTGGGACAGACAGGTGGAAAAGGTTTTCTCCTTTTGGGGAGGCGCAGGGGACAGTGAAGAACGTTGGAGTCTTTTTTGCTTCTGTTTTTGCAGCTGCGCCCCTTCTCAAAGCAGGGAACACAGAGAGGTGGATGGGAACGGCGCTTGCCGTTCCTTTCTATTTCCTGGCTGTGATCCGAGTGGGAGGCGGGAGAGGGATTGGAGAGCCGGGATCGGTGACTCCTTGGACCGACTCTCGTTTTGCAGATCCAGTCCATCGAAGAGAGCCCCCGCCCCCTTACCCGTGGCTGAAGCAAGAGGCGCCGCACCCCAGTACCTGTGGCAACGGACCGTTCCCCCAGCTGGCGCACCCCGAGCTCCCCATCTTGACCTCTCCGTCTCCTTTCGCCGTCGCCGGCAGGGAACCCGTGGTGCCCCCTTTTCCTGCGGAGCCGGCCGTCCAGATGGGCCTGCCCTCCGGGAACCTCGCCGTGCCGGGAGAGCTGGAACCCGTGCCCCAGGGGAGCTGCCCGATGGATCACTCCATCCCAAACCTGTTGATCAGCCCGCACATGTTACCCCGTAAGGATCCGTAGTGGACTGCTGGGTTGGCACAGCGGGGGGGGGGGGGTTGGGGAGGGCGAGACGGCTTTGGGATGCTCAAGCGGCCAAAATACTGTTGAGGCATCCCGCTGGAATTCTGCGTCCTGGAGCTGCCAAGGGTTTCTCCTCTGCCCCTACCCCCAGCATGCCTTCCTCCTGCTTCCATTATTATCCAGCTTGGCTCGCTTGTCTTAAGCTCTCCATTTGGTTTTAATAACGCATGTGGCTTAAGATTGGATGCTTCATTTTTTTAAAATACGAAAATGCACATGCTGCCCATCTGGTGCCTGCTTGCACTCAGCTGACCAATCAGGGCATCAGGAACTGTTCACTCAGCGGGACTAGAGGGTGTGGTGCAGTGGTTAAGCATTTTGGACCACTTATCTAGAGCCATGAAACTCAGGGTGGGGGGTTGACCTCAGGGCTGGGCCCTTCAGCGTGACTCCCTTACAGGGATGTTGTGCGGACAAAGTGGGGGGGAAAGGGAGAAGCATGTGGACTGTGCAGATCTCCTTGCAAGAAAGGTGGGACAGAAACGGAATGGTTCCTCCTAATAAGGCCATGCAGAGGATGTGATATAAGGGCGTGAAGCTCACCAACTGACTTTGGGCCAATCACGTTCTCTCTCAGGTGCCAGTAACTGACTTTGGGCCAATCACGTTCTCTCTGAGCCTGGCCTCCCTCAAAGGGTTGTCATGTAGACAAGGCTGAGGGAAGACAGCCGTGTCAGGTGTCTTTTGCACATGGGTGGAAAATCAGAGTATAAATGAAATGACAGTAGGACTCCCATGTCCACGGGGGATTGGTTCTAAGCACTCCCATGGATGCGGAAAACTGCAGATAATAGTGAGGGCTATATATACCGTGGTAAAACATATACTGCCAGGTAAAAAGTATTTTCACATGTATTACCAGAACTGGCTGCTAGAGGGAGCCAGAGACAGCACTGTGTATTCTTTAACAAGTCTAGCATGGTCTCTGCCTCCCTCTAGTGGCTGGTTCCGGTAAATACATCACAAAAATATGCATTTCTAGTTTTTTTTTCTTTTAATATTTTTAATATTTTCAGACTGGATAAATGAAACTGCAGATGCTGCCCCCATGGCTATGGGGGTCCTACTGTATTAAAATAAGCCATAGCCACACAGGCCGGGCCTTTAAGGGTCAGGAATTAAAAACGGACCTGTCGGTTCTTCTCCCTCCCCCCTCAGTGACGGACCTAGAGATCAAGTTCCAGTATCGGGGCCGCTCTGTGGGCTCTCTCACCATCAGCAACCCCCATGGCTGCCGCCTCTTCTACAGCCACCTGAAGCCCACGCAGGAGCAGGTGGAGCTTTTCGGGCCGATGACGCTGGAGCAGGTCCGTTTCCCCAGTGCGGAAGCCGTGCCCAACGAGAAGCAGCGCTTCTACACCCGCCAGCTGCTGGATGTCTTGGATCGGGGCCTCATCCTGGAGCTGCAGGGCCAGGACATCTACGCCATCCGGCTGTGCCAGTGCAAGGTCTTCTGGACAGGGCCGTGCGCCGGTGAGCTGGCGGGCCCCAATCCCATCGAGCGGGAGAAGAAGATCAAGCTGTTTAGCCTGGAGAGTTTCCTCAACGGTGAGGAGATGCCAGATGGGGCAGGGGAATCGGTGGTGGAGGGGGCAGGGTGGGTGAAAGGACCTGCTTGGAATAAGCCCCCCCCCCGAAAGGCATCTTCCTGTTTTGTGCAATAACAATGTAACCGACTGGCATTATTTTAAAAAACTAACAAGTAGGGACAAAGTTATTTCTTGGGGCAATCAGTAGTGGCTTCAAGTTACTTTTGACAGTTACTTTTTAGGAACATTTTTAAAAGGCATTTTGCAGGGAGCTTGTTGAGTTTTCTGCTCTTTCCTTGAAAGAAAGAAAAAAAAGCACCACAACAGGTTATTTTTATATCCTGCAACAAGTAACAATATTGAATTACTTTTTAAAAGTAATTACGCACCCTTTGAGAAAATACAGATTCCTGTCCCTCGGGCGTACATTGTTTGTGTCCGTGTCACATGGCCCGCTGCAAGAACAGTTGACGGAACCCTTGAGTTCTGGAGAAATTCCGAGATACTTTTTTTTTCTCTCCACTGAGAATTTTCAAAAATTGCAATGGCTTTTTGGGAAAGAGCCAAAATACCGTAATCTGGAGTCAGAGCCTCACCAGTGTCTCAATGTCTGGCCCACTTTGGCTGCAGAGCCAGTTTTGTGAATCCTCAGAGAGCTTTTTCTAGCCCAAGGCGAGGAAATAGGCAAAGTCTAAGCAGCGTAGAGAGTCGCTCTGCTAGGAACGGTCCCAAGGAGTGCGTGGCAGGGATTCGCTCTTCGCCACAGAGAGGAATCTCACAGCGGCCACACACCTTATAGCAGCAAGCAAAGTCATTTTGCTTGCTTGCTGCTATAAGCAAGCCTTTTTTCAGGGTTTTCCAAGTAGAGACGACTCAGAAGTGGTTTCCCCTTCTCTCCTTCAGGAGGGGAATCCCTGGGACGACGGTGCAGCTGGCCCAAGGCCACCCAGGCTAGCTCTACTTTGCAGGAGGCACGGTGGGGGAATCGGGACCCCCAACTTCTGGCTCCACCCACTGAGCTCTCCAGCCTGCTAATGGCTCTTAGAACAGGGCTCATTACTCAAACTCACCCCCCATATTTCTGATGACGAGCTGGAGCTTGGAGAGAGTGGCTTGCCGAAGCCACCCATGGAGTTCGCGGCAAAGTTAGGATGTGAATCAAGAGTTCCCGTTTCCCAGTTTCGCCTTTGTGACTTCATCACAGCAGCTGGTTCTTCCTCTCAGGACCCTTCGAAGGCACACACACCCCAAAATCGGGTGTTGGGCAAGGACAGAGCTGTTGCCCATTTCATGCATAGGGTCCAGGTGCCTTTCCTGCAATTTAGTTTAACACCTCCTGTACCCTACAGGTGTGTTTCACTGGTCAAGATGCTGCTGTTCAACATCTGGTCTGGAAACACAGAAACCTTTGTCCCTGGATCGGTGCACCCTTTAAAGGCCCTTTCTTAAGCCCCTGGACCCTTCCCCCCTCCAGATGTTCTGGACCCCACTTCCCATCAGCCCCCACTCACCATGGCCAAGCATGAAGGACTAGGGGAGGAGACGAAGGGCCAAAGGTCTCCCATCCCAGTGTAGGGGACGAGCAATGCCGAGAACCGCAATGCACACGCAGACACGCACCCACCCACCCAGCATGTCCTGCAGTGTTAAGCCCAAAGCCATGCTCGGTCACTGTTGAAATCCACATCACCGGGAGTGTCTGCCGGAGAGAGGCTGGTTGGCCGAGCAGCGTGATGCTCTTCGTGAAGTCCCGTAGACGGTGAGGCTGCTGTATCGAAGTATTCGGTTTCCATTCTTAGAACAGGCACAGGAATCTGTGCTAGATGGAGAGCTTTTGTTATCCCAGCTCATCAGCTGGGCTTCCCCTTCTGGTCACCAAACTGAAAGCTTTTGCAGACGGGGGGGGAAGGCTCCCCGCCTGTCTTCCTGCAAATCCATTTTCCTCCTTGCAGTCTTTTTTTTCGGGGCCTCCCCCTGTTTTGGTGGCTGTCCTGAATATCTGCCTCTTCTCCTCCCCTCTGAAGCCCCGTCTCGCCTCTTGACACCTCCGTTCTGGCAATGTAAAGACAGGCGTCCCCTTTCCTTCCCCACAGGCCTCATCATGTTCCAGAAAGGTCAGAGCACCACGCCACCGCCCTACGAAATTTTCTTCTGTTTTGGAGAAGAGTGGCCAGATCAGAAGCCGAAGGAGAAAAAGCTGATCATGGTGCAGGTGAGCAGTTAGAAACATGGCTGACATTGACAGCCACTGCTGACAGGCAGCCTCCCTCTGGGGTCAAACCCTGGTTTTGCAAGTCAGGGGTTAGCTCTCCTTGTTAAGGAAAGAAAAAGAGGAAATCACGAGGACTTTAGCTGATCGCTTAGGGAAATGGTCTACTGGAAAGCGCGGGAGGGAGCATTGGGCACCTTCATTCAGCGACACCCACACGCCCACGTGCATGCATGCGCCTGGCCACATCTGTCACTCATCCGTGCAAGATGGAAACGGGAGCAATGTGGTGCGCATTAGAGACCGGCAGATCTGCGTGGGGAATCCCGAGGGCTGAACTCCAAAGGCTCAAAGGTGTGTGCCTCGCCTGCTGATGAACAAGCCGCTCGGTGCATTCTGGGTAGCGCGCCAGACAGCATGGGACTTGCATTTCATTAATTAGCAGCAGCAGCATGCCACTTGGAGATGTGGTGGCACTGTGGGCTAAACCGCAGAAGCCTGTGCTTGCAGGGTCAGAAGACCAGCAGTTGTAAGATCGAATCCATGCGACGGAGTGAGTTCCCGTCGCTTGTCCCAGCTCCCGCCAACCTAGCAGTTCGAAAGCATGCAAATGGAAGTAGATCAATAGGGACCACCTCGGTGGGAAGGTAACAGCGTTCCGTGTCTAAGTCGCACTGGCCAGGTGACCACGGAAGATTGCCTTCGGACAAAAACACTGGCTCTATGGCTTGGAAACAGGGGTGAGGACCACCCCCTAGAGTCGAACACGACAGGACAAAAAAATTGTCAAGGGGAACCTTTACCTTTAGCATGCCACTTGGAGACACATAAGCTGGCAACAGGATTCTGACCCCTATCACCCCAAAATAAATGGCAATTCAGAAAAACCAAAACACCAGCTTTCCCCCGTAAGCAAGCAGGGCAACAGACATGTCTTTTTTCCTCCTTCCTCTGCACGACACCCCTGCAGGGTAGGCCAGGTTGAGCGAGACTAGCCCAAGGGGTCACGAATGTCACAGCCGAGTAAGGTTTTAAATCCAGATCTCTCCCGCCCTCCTAGTCCAACCACCGATAGGCCACCCCGCTCAGGCCCTGTGGTACGGCCCACTCTTTGCGTTTCTCCACCCTGCAGAGACCTGCTCAATTCTTTCATCTCCTTTCTGCCCGACAGGTGGTTCCGGTCGCTGCCCGCCTCTTGCTGGAAATGTTCTCCGGGGAGCTGTCCTGGTCGGCCGACAGCGTCCGGCTCCAGATCTCCCACCCGGATCTCAAGGACAAGATGGTGGAACAGTTTAAGGAGCTCCACCACCTCTGGCAAGCCCAGCAGAGCATCCCGGTCTCGAACCCGGAGCCAGCTGAGGCCGAGACGTGGCCCATGCAGACGGGCAACGGCATGCAATAGCCGGGGCCGGGGCCACCACCGGCGAGACAGGACAGGCCCCCGACGGCTCGTCTCCCACACTTGGCTTCTGTAGGGTTTTCATGGCTCTGGCTTGGACCCTATGCTCCCCCTTTTCTCTGGTACTGTGACGTCCATGAGACAAGAGAACCAGGACAGAAGAGCTCTCTCTCCCTGGGATGGATGGCGAAGAAGCCTGCGGGCATGAGCGCTCATGACAAAGGGGAGCACCACCTATATATATATGTATTTGCTTTGAACTCTTACCAAGCCTAAGAAGAGGCACACCAGCTCTTTCGAACGAAAGGGAAATGTAGCGCAGGAGAAAGTCACCGGTGTGGACTGTGCCGCAAAGACAGGGGACAGAGCCATGGGAGGGGCTCCTGGGGGGGCAGACCGGGACCCCAGGAAGGACTGGGCTGTGAGCCAAGGGGAAGGTTCAAACTTTGAACCCGAGTCACCTCGTAGCAAAACGGCAAGCTGTGCCACGCGGAAAGAGCAGGAAACTCAGCGCAGCTGCTGAGACAGCCCAAACCTCTGGCTCTCCAGAAAGCTGCGGATGGGCTTGGCGCCAGCGCTTGAACAGGTCGGGGCCTTTGGGTGGGTGGGGGATTGGGGTGTCTTTGAACAACGAAAGACTGGATTGTGACCGAGGGGGTTCAGCTTTGGCCTCGTGTCTGCTAGAGACTGCATGTTGGCCTGGTTGGGCTCCGGACTTCCCGTGAGTCAGCCGCGTCAACCGGAGAAGAATAGATATCTCTTTTCAAGGGAAAACCTCCCTATCCAGCCGGGACACAGGCACGGTGGACGAGAGAGCGGAGCGGAGAGGAGGCAGAACCCTTCCAAAGCAGGCAGAGGCGCTCCCACCAGCCAGGCCCTTGCCTCCCCCTCGGGCCCTTTAGGCCGTCGATGAATACCCAGGGCTGGGCGGTGGGCCAGGAGCCTCATTTGGGGACCTTTTTTCTGCTTGTGGGGTGTCTAAGCCAAAGACGTCCACCCAGAGGACTGTGGCAGAGGTGTGGAAGGAGGACACAGCGTGGAGAAGTCACTGGTTTGGGGGTGCCATGTCCCGGAATCCCCCAGTGTAGGAGTGGGGGGGGAGAAGTGGGTTGGTGCCCAGAAAGTGAGCTCCCCCAAAAGGGGTGGGCGAGGCTCCAGGGGAGCCGGGCTGAAACATCCCGGGGGGGCAGGATCAGGAAAAAAGGCTGCCCATGAGCCTGCTGGTAGGCACTCGGGTCTGTTCTTATGCCCAGCCGAGAGCCCGGGAGCTGGAGAGGCGCTACTGGCATTTCCAGAGAACATGCAAAGGGTCCCGGCCAGCCCTTATATAGTGGGAGTGACGCCTCTTGAGGAAGGCGGGCGGCCCAATTCACCCAGAGGTCACTCCGTCTGCCAGGAGAGCCAGGATCCCGGAATGAAACAGCCGCCACCGGCCAGGGCTCGTCCGTGCTTGGGGGTCCAGCGGGCCAAGGGAAGGGTAGCTGCTGCACACTGGGATAGCCAGAGGATTCCTCCACATCATTTTTTTTGGGGGGTTGGGGGGGTGGAGGCGCCGTCCCCTTCCTTCTCCCACCCGAGAAGGTGATCCTTGGCCTTGTCAAATAAACACATTTACTCTTGTCTGCAAGGGCTGAGTGGGAGCTTGCTTGTATTCCAGGAGACGATAACAGCTGGAGCCTGCCGCTGGATGTTGCAATTCCGCACAGATGCCGGTTGAGGGAAGGGGCTGCATGGAAGCCGGGGCCAGCCCCGGGAAGCGCTGCCACCTGGCACACACTTGTGGTCATTCCCGGGCAAGACCGGTGGGCCCTGAGCCCCGGCCGCCCTGGAACAAAGCAGGGAGGGGCAGCCACTCTTCGGCCATCCGTGCCACCCATTTTGAGGTCTCCCAAGGCACGGCAGTCGCCACATTAAAAAAATAAGTCCCGTCACAGAGAGAAATAGATTGTGATTCTCATTCATGAAAAGCTGGGGTCCTTCTGCTGAAAAAGGTTGGAATAGTCTCTGGTTACTCGGGATTCTTGAAGAGCGGACCGGGGATCGGTTCCCGCTGGGGCTGAGGGTGAACGGGTTCTCGATCTGGCCGTCTGGAGGCCGTGTGTGTGTGTTTCAGCGCTGGAAAGAGGGGAGGCCTGCCAGCACACGAACGCTGACGGCTGCGACTCTGCTCACTGAGCAACGCTGCCGCTCCTCCAGGTGTAGACTGGTTTCTTTAAAAAAGCCTTCAGTGGGGGATGGTGTTTGAGAGGGGAGGGGGCGTGCTCATGCCTGAAAATCTCCCATACTGAAGCCGAGCTGCCTCGGCTCTAACCGAAGGTTTCAAAGGCTGAAAGGCAATAAAGGGGGGCTTATTCCCCATCGCGGGTTTTCACTGGAGAAGCCACGACACATCTCGCTCAACGCCTACTTCCTGCAGCCGAGAACAAGAATGCAGAAGAGCCAGAGTTTTCCCTCTTCCACAGGAAAGGGCAGAGTTAAGGTTAAAAAATGCCACGGTTTCCAAGTTGGGACCAGGAGTTGGCCAAGGCACCCTGGGTGCGAGAGCTTCCTGTTCATCTTTCCTGTCTTGCCACCCAAACCGGAGAAAGCTATTCTGGCTGGTCTGTGTGCGAGAGCAGCATCTCGTTCCCTCCACCTACAGGAGGGCTCGACAGGAGACCATGGTTCCTGCCCTTCTGCCCTCGGCCGCGCTCGGCAAGCTCTCTGGCGCCAGCCGAGGGAGAAGGATGGAGTTTTCCACCTGCCCTTCTGCCCTCGGCCGCGCTCGGCGAGATCTCTGGCGCCAGCCGAGGATGGAGTTTTCCATGAAAGGTCCGTACGGAAACCAAAACAGGACTGTGCAAAAACAAAAAATGTTTTGTGGCTCCTTCATACCCCACGGGCGGCAGAGCAGACAGCCGGCCCCCGTTCCCCGGCCAAGTCTGGAGGTGAAGCTGTCCGATCTCCAAGGCAAAGGCTCACATGCTCCATCACGATACGGAGATCGCCGACGGAGGCTCAGCGCGACTCTCCGTCCGTACACGGACCGAGAACACCAGGGCCGAGCAGTGCTGGGGGGGAAAAGAAGGCGACGGGGACTGCTTCCATTTTAATTT